CATCCTCGGCCACAACTGCACCCAAGCGAATATTTGCCTACTTGAAACGTCAACTGAAACCTGGGGACGACCTACCGGTCTTAGAGAGCTTAGACGGGAAGACACTCATTTCAAGCGCGGAGCGCGCGGACGCCCTGGCTACGCACTTCCTCACTGTATTTTCCAGTAAACCGGCGGCTGTTCCTGTACCGGCACAGGTTGCGCAAGTCTTGCTCGACAGCCTACAATGTGATGCAGTCGAAGTACATCAGCTACTCGTCAACCTCGATGGTGCAAAGCCCCTCGGACCAGAAGGACTTCACCCACTAATACTCAAGTCCCTATCGATCATCATCTCACCAGCTGTGACAAACATTTTCAATAGATCGCTCTCTGAAGGATCCGTCCCGAACGACTGGAAATGCTCGATAGTGAAACCGCTTCCCAAGGGTGGTGATCCGAGTAAAATAGAGAACTATAGACCGATCTGTTTGACTTGGGTATTATCCAAAGTTCTCGAGAAGGTTGTGAAAAAGTGTCTGCTGTCCTTCTTCGAATCGATGGACGTATTGACGCCAGCGCAACACGGCTTTACGAAAGGGCGATCCTGCATCACCAACTTGATGTACGCAAACCACCAGTGGGTTCGAGCTCTCAATGAACAGAAGGATGTTGACGTGGTGTACATCGACTTTCGTAAGGCGTTTGACAGAGTTAACCACGAGGTACTCCTTGGTAAACTGAGGACATACGGAATCGGTGGCACGTTACTTCAGTGGATACAAGAGTTTATTGTGAGACGAAGGTTTAGAGTACAGGTCAATGACTATCTGACAGAATGGTTCCCATCGGCCAGTGGCGTGCCTCAAGGAACTGTACTTGGGCCAGTATTATTTCTGATCTATATCAACGATCTTCCACAGCAGCTCCAGTCACCATGTGTCCTGTTTGCGGATGATTTGAAAATCTGGAGGATCATTGAAAACTAGGACGACTGCGCTCGCCTCCAGCATGACTTAGAGCGACTGTCAACGTGGTCCACTGAAATGCAACTCCCTCTTAACGCAAGCAAGTCGGAGTTCATCAGTATCACCAGACGTCCAGCCACTCGATCATACACCTTGGACGGCCAGTTGCTCCATCCCAACACATCTGTCAGAGACTTAGGAGTTCTCTCACGATATGATTTGAGATCACTAGAAAATACAGAGAAATTGTGCGGGACTTCGTATGCTCTGGGCATTAAGACGCAGTTTCTCCATATGGTCCGAAGAAACCGTCCCTCGTCTATTCACCTCGCTCATTAGACCAATCCTTGAATACAGTGCCCCAGCTTACCATCCGATAACCCAGTAGGAAACTGAAAAATTGGAGAAAATACAGCATATCGCAACTAGAATGATACCAAGTCTACGAAAGCTTCCGTATGAAAAACGTTGCGAAAGGCTCGGACTCTACATACTATCCTATCGCCGAGTAAGAATTGATCTTATTATGACCCATCGAGTACTACACTTGAATCACTTCCCCATACTGCAGCCAATATTTCACCTGCGAGAACCCTGTAACACCCGAGGACATCGTTACAAACTCAGGGTCCCCAGCATGAACAAAGTATCACATCAGCTTTGTATCGAACGAAGAATCGTAAACTTATGGAATACACTACCAGAAGGATTAATAGAGGCCGATTCTGTGAAGTGTTTAAAACCCGTATCGACGATTATTTTGGAAACCTGTGCTTTTGTGAAACGATGCACATACAGTGCCAAAAGAAGACATTGTATGTCCGGAAATAATGACGCTAGTACAAATTTCTAACCGAACAAGGATAAACGATTAACGGACCAGACACAACTGCTGATAATTCACAAGTAAATTTTGATTTTTCGTAATTCGATAGAGTTGTGCAGAAACCTTTCTACTTGCTCTTAAATACAGTCTCAGTCTCAGGATGTCCACTCCCGTCACGTATAGTTTCACTAACACCAGGTCTCCTGCTGTCCGTTTCCAGCATCAGACCAAATAACATTCGATGGTAGCCAAGGGCAGCGGCCACTTCCATCTCTGCGCCACGATGGGACCACCAGGATTCGCAGTCTCTCTTCAGGCTAGCGCGTAGCTTTGTCCTCAGGTCTTTGCGAGTCTCCTTTTGTTCGCTTCCAGCCGGACTGTGCCGGCTAGCATCGATAAGTTCCAGAGACTGCGAAGAGATTCACTGTCTACTTTGGCTATTGGATTTACCACATGATGATTTACCTGCTTCCAGTAGGTCTGGTGAATATGCGGCCAGTGAGCTTCAACTGTACACAGTGAGCGCTTGTTCAACTCGAAAGCCAGCGTACTTCGATACACATTCAGAACACCTGGCTTCGCCAATTTGCTGTTGTCTATGCGCTCACAGGGTCGTCGAGGGCGACCGCCAAAACGCACCCGCAGATCAGCGCATACAAGTGCATGGTCAGTGTCCACACTTGTGCTGCAAAGCGAGCGACAGTTTTGGACGCAGCCTCTCCAGCGATTACTGATCGCGATGTGATCGATCTGCGTCCATGGCTGGTGAGTGCTAAGTCACCTTCCGACGGCTGCTATGTCGGAAGTTTGTGCTCGCGAGAAATAAACGAGCATCTTCACTAAAATAAAGTAAGCGCTCACCGCTATCATTACGGGAACCTACACCATGTTGGCCGCCCGGATGCAGCTCAGCAGTGGACAGTTTCCACAACTTCAGTGTTCAGATCGCCAGCCAGCACTGTAGTGACTGTGCTTCTTCTGTGGCGAAGGAGCTCCACAAGTTGACGATAGATGTCGTCTTCTACCGAGTGATCGCTAGTTTGTGGGGGCGTAGACAACGGTGACAAACAAACACCTATTAGCCCCGCGCGACTTCGAAGCTTAGAACGAGCCAGCCAGTCGGACCGCACACATCCGGCTATTGATTGGGATAAAATCAACCAGATCAGCTTCAGCCGGGGGACTCAGTGCAATACCAACACCGGCTTGGCCGGCATTCGAAGCTGAATCGTCTTCGGATAGGCACAATGAGAAAGCACTGCTAGGGTCACCTGAAGGGTATCGCAGAGTGGGAACAGAGCTCGGGTCTTGTAGGTGGGTTTCCGATAAGCAGCAGATATCGATCGAGAGGGTTCCTAATGTTCGGGCAAGTGCTGACTGTTGACCGATCTGTAACAACGTGCGTACGTTGAGGCATGCCAATTTGAGGACCGGGGGCTGCAAATAGAAGCCGATGAACTGGGCTTGACTGCTTGGTTAGACACGGGGTTGTCGATAGGGCAAGTGTGATGGTCCGCGTTCGCATGTGATTTGAAAGTAGAAGCAAAATGCCTATCAAAGCATGGTGGGGGTGATCCAAGAATTAAGGAGTTAAAAACGGGGGTGGATAAAATCGAAGTTGGGACGGGACGATAGGGGTGAAAAAGCATAAGATAGGGGAATAAGAAGACGGGAAGTTTTGGACAGTAGCATCCAAATCCCTATCCACCGGGCTTGATGCAGCAGATAGGGCGCCGTTTATTACCCTCCGCGATGGCCAGAGCATCAGGAAATTGTTTGACGAAAGATCCGAGTGTGAGACCCACTGAAGAATGGTTCTAAAACTCGTAGTCTGGTGGTTTTGATTCTACTTGAGGTTAGAGGTAAGGAGCATCCGTATTACTGAGTAACTTAGTAAATACAAACCGCTTAAGTAACTAAAGGTATGTCTGCTTGACATCTGTCATATTTATATGTTTGGCGGCATCCAATTACGGATTTGCCTATCACTGCGGCCTCCATGGGAACAGCCACAGGACGCTTGCACCTACAGTGAGATCATGGGTGGCTTGCGTTGCACCACCCACAGCTTCATCCACACACCCCATATCCAGTGGAAACCCGAAAGAATAAGACGGGAATACAGGTGGATGGGAGCCACGTTTCATCAATGGAGCCGGCACACACTGCTTCACAGGCAAACACAAGCACGCAGTATTTGGGGAATCAAGCGCACACAAGGCAGTGGCTGGACCGTAGTCCGCTCGACACACAATCTATGTGCATAGAACCACTCTTCGAGCACAACACGGTCACGATGGTCACGCACCCATCCTCTCTAGTAACGATCAACTGTCTCCTGGAGCCAGCATAGACGAGGTGGTGGGTAATAGACAAGTAGGCACCTTGTCAACATGTACATCAAGCGCAATTACACCGGGGATGTCAAGCAACATGTGGATAGGAGCCATGTTTCATCAACGGAGCCGGTACACACTACTTCAACATGCATTGAAGCAGTATTCATGTCTATCTATGTAGGGAATCATGCGTACCAAACGTACACAAGGCTGTGGCTGTGCCGTAGCCCGCTCCACACTGGATGGAACCACTCTTTGAGCTGAGCAACGCCACGAGGACCGTGCATCCCGTCCACCCCCAGCAACGATTTACAGTCTCCTGGAGCCAGTAATTGAGGTGGAGAGTGTTTAGACAGGTAGGTCACAGTAGCTCACAAGCTAAATCTGCCTCTAGCGGTCATGGGTTCAATCCCCAGTAGGGGACCGAGGGAATGCGCATCACTGACGAGCCCCAATAGGGAGAAACGCGTCTGGTGCTTTTCCGGACTAGGCTGTGCTATGTAGCTTGTGAGCTACTGGGACGAAAAACCTTAAAAATTGAGTTGCCAGAAAATAAAACCTCCATAAGTATGTACAGCTGAGTCCAATGGGACGATCTTCGCTCACTCGGAGGCACATCCGCGGATAGGTGGGCTATAGGTGAATTCAGTGAAGGTGCGCAGAACTATCGAATAACGCAAAATTCAAATCGTCCGTCGCTTTTCACACATGTAACGGTCACCACACTTAGTTCCGTTACCGCAGATACACTTGAAGGCATCCAACTCAGATTACTGCTATTTTGCACAGGATTCTAATCGACCTGGATCCCATCGGTCTAAATCTGTAACGCTTTGTATACAGGGAAAAGTACTCGGAGAAGCATGTGAGACAAAGTGTGTAACAAACCGCGGGGTTTTCCGGTGGCTTCAATGGACTCTCGCAGATCAGACACACGGGCAGATTGAGGGGCACCTTCGAGTGGCACATGGGACATGAGCCTAGGCGGATAGCTGCGAGCGGAGCAGCGGCGCAGGTGGGCAGAACCGGCAAAGCGCGACCACAGTGGACACAGTACTTTTGTGACTGATTTGGTGACCGCGGATTGAAGCAATTGGGGCAACTAAGAATTGAGGAGGAAAAACAAGAAAACCCAGTTGGATACGATGATGCTCGTCAGTATACGAACAACTGTTCGGTACCTAATGTCACAGGGACAGTGCTCCACGAGTTAGCGACATAAAAGGGTTCGCTACTACAGTAGGACACCCATCGGACTAAGGCTGCGCGCTTGAGAACGGTGGAGCAAGGTAACAAAAATATTGGTTAAGGTTGTTGGGTCAATAAGAGACTGTGTGGAGGGGAGAGATTCTGCTGTAGTGGTACCTAAGCGACGCCACTCCGGTGCGGGTATCGTGACGGGACGAGTAGGGAATATTGCACCAACATACCCTAGCGTAGTCTGTAAAAAGAATACTAGCGCGAAGACAAATCCGCGCTATAAGAGTTGAACCACACAGTGGCGCGCAGCAGATAACTTTGGAAATGAGTGATATCTTATTAATGGTACTTCATCTCAGGCTCCCGAACCATGTCTTCCTGACGACCAACAAGTTGCAAGGAATAATTTGACTATAATCAAAAAAGTACATAGGTAATGTGTTACATGGGCGCTTTTTCATTTGTTATGTAGCCAAGTGTAAATAGTACGACACTCTATCACCTGGATCCCCCACGCTAACAGTACGGCGAAGGAGGATAAAATACGGAATGGTCAGTGATAAAATAAATTGAGTACCCAGGGATTTGAGATGAAAAGCACTTCCGATTCACCCACAATTCGGATAACTGCGGGAGCTGAGAAGTATCACTTGTATCATCGTGGATGACATAGTGAAGTAATTTATCAGCAATAGTGCCAGATAAAAGCTAATACGACCCAGCGAAATCAGAAATCGTTACGTACAACACCGGTGACTGAAAGTTGGACATCACGATTAGCAGGAAGGCGCCGAACGAACAGCGATAAAAATGGCTAACAACTAATGTCCAATATCAATTACACTAAAGTGTTCAGATTTGCTCACTTTCTGTCATGTGGCATGCAGTTTTCGATGAACAGCAAACCAAATGAGAAGATGAAGATTAACAGGACGAAGTATTCAGTGAAACAAGTGATTATAACAAGATGATCAGAATGTCTCCTGGATCAATTAAGAAACGTTTACAGCGGTGGTTTAAACGAAGCACTTCAGAGTCAGTTGCGATGAGGATGCGACGAAATTGTGGTGGGCTGACTTGTCTCGGATCGGGAGGTAGTCCCAAAGAGCAGAGTTCATAAAGCCCGACACGATGCAAATACGGTCGTTGTTGCAGCGGCTGATAAGAGTTGCTACCGTCGCTAAATGCTGTTCTTACCTCCACGTTCTCCACCAAATATGGTGAAAATGAAATATGGTTGATCCCGTTTTGATTAATTTTTCTCTTTGTTTTTCACATTCGCATCCCTTCCATAAATAATTAGGGGGGAAGACAATAACAGAAAAGGTCTGCAGTTGGATGTATGAAATGAGAGTAATCATATCCAGAGTACCTTGGTACTTGGACACTGGTTGAGTAAATGAATGACTAAAGTTCAAATCCCACGAACTGGTTGTAATCAATGAATTCTCAATCAAGCTATCCGGAGGCGAGCCCTAGTACTGTGGACAGAAGGCAATGGCAGGCAATGAGCAGAAAAGCTGTGTTGAGTAGCTAGGAATGTTGGTTAGCGTGGGGAACAACAGATCGATGCCTGCTGGCAGCATGCGGAACGTAATCTAGGAACGTCCTTGCAGCCCATACCATGAGCTCTGACGCGCAATTCACCTGAACGCTCCTTGGAAATGATGGTCATATTTCATATGCGCTCAGATGGGCAGTAGGAATTGCTGTCAGTAAGAAAGTATTTCAATAAACGAAAAGACACTGAGCCTTTGATTTTCAGAAAGTAGGGATGATTCGCCTTCGAAATCAAACGATGTATAGGAGGACTACTGGACAAGCGATTAATACAACACCGACCCCACTAAAAACAAGCCATGGGGGCTCAATGCTACCGCAAGCATGAAGTGTGCCATCCTGAACACTGGGCCCAGGGCCCATATAGAAGAGTGGTTTCGGTGTCAATGATGTCTCGTACGAGTGTTTCGAAGACGCAGTATGCCCTAAAATTAAGCGAGTGTAGCGAGTTGGAGCGACAGCCATCCGTTTGCTGGGTGACGAGTAGTTGTGAAGCAAAGCAGTGTCTATAAAAGCGCGCTGATATCGTTCGCGCTAACAGGTCAAGGAAGGTATCACTAATACGCCAGTATTCTACACTGAAGCTAGGCTGTCAAAGGACAGATGGATGAGATACTGCTGGGAAGCAGGAGGCGCAAGCCAGATACATGATCCACTACAAGGATCCCTTCATAATTCCAACAAATGTCAGTTGTTGCACGTCCACGTCCATGATAGCAGATAGCGCATTAGTAGGCACAAACTGCCAAGGACTGGTGATAACACAGTTGCGCCTCACTGGCCAAAAAGTACCTTGCTCAAGGTAAGCAGTATTATAGCAATGCGCGACGGATGTGGTCGACTATCACACGGGGCAACTAATGGAAGTTCAGGCAAAAGTGAATCGGCTGGGCATGGAATCCGTATGATAACACCTCTCAACCGTGGAAGAGTGAGAGGGTATGGAAGTCACCCCAGCCAGAAAGATGAAAGGATGGGTGCGACGTCCGAGCCACTCCTAAGATTATTATGACATAGATAGCTCTGAGGGCGAGTACAATCAGGTAAAGAACGATGGACAAGTAAAGTGCATTAAGTTCAATTGATCTTTTACGAGTCATGCACTGAAGTGCGGAGAATCCACTGCAGTTGGCAAAAATAAGAGCTGCAAAAGTGGAAAATAAGGAGAAAGAGCGGGTGTATTTAACAAAATTGTACAAAAGCGCCGAGATCATCGGGCGACAAATCTATGAATAGGGAGCACGGGGTAGATATGAGAATGTCACTGATAAAAAACAGAGCAGGATTTGCGGACTTAGATGTTGCTAATCCAGAGACAGTCATACAAAAGGAGAGGGCAAGACCCAACCATGTAATTGTCTGAGAAAGTTCTTTGTGCTTTTTTCCAACATGTCATGACCCCCCAGTACGGCGTGTCAAACGATTCATGTGTCAGCTGTACGCCGTAATGGCGCTTCGCTGCCGCGCGAACACCACCAGTCACGCGAAGGTTGAGTATACCGCGAGGACGCCCACCCCTACGCGGATTCGAACCGGGGACCTTATGGTTGCAAAGCAGGTGCGCAGACCACTCGGCCAGCGGCCGACTGTCAAACAGTCAGGTGCGAAATCGGTAAGCAATGAACACTGAGGGGGGTAATTGGAAAGCATATGAGGGACATGGCCAAGCCGGCATAAGCAGTGTAAGTTCGTTTCGACTTCTCTGTTTTAACGCGGGAACATTTTTCTATCGAACCGCCATAGGATCCAATAGAACAAGGTAAATCTACAACGTTCCGGAGAAAAAACATTGTTAGTAATATCTTGAAGAGATCTGAACATGGTTTTGCGAAGTTTCGACAAATTTTCAATCTTTATTGTGGTGGAGCCGTGGGGTCAGGGTCTGAACAATGGGGCTGTAACTGCAAATTCAGTAGACAATCCGATGGTCGCATGCTTCCGGCATGCACAACATAAATGGATCTCGCCACAAGTTGGTTCAGCTAGTCAGCTCAGTAAAGGAATTAGGATCCGGACGCCGAAGTGCGATAGATCCAGTTGCCACGATCCGCGCTGACAGCAAAACTATATGCACCAATGGTGAGAAAGTGAAGTGGAAGGTAAATATAATACAAAGAAAATGAAATCAAGACAGGAGGGTGCACAATTAATTGGGATGGAATATTAACAGAAACTGGTTGATAGATCACCACTGGTTGCGCGACTGCGCCATGTTTTATGGGGTATCCTTCAACCAGTGATCTGGACCATCCTAATACCCACATCCACGAAAACAGCACGCACTAGCTTGACTAAATATTACACTCAATTTCTTCATGTGTTTATGCCAATTCATGGACTGGCTACTTTGTGATTTCAGCCAAATTGGTGCAGCGACGGCGTATAGTGCACGCTGAGGAAACCGTTTAATGGGCATACGGAGGACATGGGCTAGCCAACACAACCGATTGACCTTCAATAAACAATAAAGTGAGGCACTAGAGATCTTGCCAAAATCAAATTAGCGGACCTCCGTATTTCCCACCCGGTGTTCGCACCAGACGTGAGCAATATTCCGCAAGCACCGGTTGTAAAACATGGTCAATCATTAAATGTATTCGGTACAAACGACAGAGTTGCGAACAACAGAATCAAAGTTGAGGTTAAATTCGAGGAGGTTATGAGAGAGCGATAGATCACTCCGACGAGATAAGACATGAGCGCGTATGTAAGTACATAGCACCAATAATCCTCAGACCAATTAGCTACAGCAATTTAGGGGCATCAATTCAGGTTGGATTGTCAAAGGATGAGTTGAAGAAGGAAGGACCCCAAACCCCTATACCTTGACTGGCATGGACATATTGTGTTGGAGGTGAAAGTAAGGCGCACAATAAGTAAACGGAAGATCAATCAGGAGATTATCACATTTGTAACCGCGTGTACAGACTAGCGGTAAAAGAGAAGCGGTGAAAAGCAAATGCAGCCAAAAATGTCCGAATGATCTATCACAGTCTCTATGCATGGAGAACAAAAATTGCACTCTAATTTAATGGGACATCACTCACTGCAGTAGGTCAGTTCGTTGCTGTAGACGCGAGAGGTGAGAAGAGGAGTCGAATAGCACATGCCTGAAGGACGGAGCGTCAGTTACAGAGTCTGTATGGGATGTAGCTTTGTCAACCTTTGGAAAATAGGGAACTGCAGATGAAACAATGGCTGCACGAAATAATGAATACGTACAATTGGAAATCAGCAGAGTTTAAACGATTGAGGCAAATGTGAACAGAGCAAGCGAAGTCCAAATTTTCAGCACGCACTTAGGACTTTTACCAAAGTGACTATAGAGACGAAGTGAAAAGCTCTGACTAGATGACTCTTAGCTAGGAAAAACACGAGTGGACAGGATAGCGTAGGCTCGTGGATATGGGGGAGAATATGGAGAAGGTGAGTATTCCCACAAAGCACAATATTAAGACACAAAGTGGAATTAAACCAACAAGTTCAACCAGAATCATTCACTTGGCTTCTGGAAGCCAGGAGTGTTGATTTGCATCTCCTCTTACTATCAAATGGAATGAACGAACTAAGAAGATAGAAATTAACTGTCCCATCTGTTCTAGAAAAATAAGGATTTGTAGTCACAGGTTTACCACGCAATTGTACTGTACTCCTGAACAACAATGTTTCCCAAATTAAAAACGAGGGTTTGTCGTGAACGAGAATTGTACAGAAATTGGAAGCTCTAACAGACAAGAACACACCTGATTGAATACACAGTACCACTAAAATGACGATTCATTAATCCTTTGTCAGGCGATAGTGAGGATAAAAGTTGAGAAAATGAAAAAAGAGTTTCAGGATATTCGGAACGCATTGCACTTAGTTTGCAACATAGTTGACAGCAGCAGTGTATCGGTAAGACTGACTCAGAAACTAATACGGTTGTGTGTTGAAGAAAAATTCATCGGTTTATGTTATCTCATCCATAGGCCCATCCAGATACCCTATGTTGTGGCTGAAATACTCATCTAATAGATCAAGTGTGATTTCTACGTGATCAGTCCACGTCAATAAGACGCAACCAACCATACGCGTGAAACAATGAGTGCCCCAGTAAATACCAGCACGTACTAGAGGAGAGTTCCTAGCTTTATAAAAATAAGGGAAATAGAATGAGCCTGCTGAGCAATGAGGAGAGGAAGCATGCAGAATAAGTAGCGAACTTCACCCGCACACACGCCGCGTAGGAAACGAGTGCAGAGATCGGTGGTTTCGAATGGGAGCCAAGTGTGCAGCTACATATGAAACGAGTGCGTCCACCTGTCTGTGCAGTAACGACAAGAAATCCAGCTCACTCGATCGAGAAGTATCCAGCAGATAGCCATGTTCAACCACTTGGCTTGTGATTTAAAGCACTCCTGGGTGAACACAATCTGAGTCAACTCAGGTGAGAAGTTTGAAGAATGAGTCGGTCATAGAGAGAGAGGAAACTGTAAAAGTCAGTTCAGCCAGTGTAGCTACTGGCGTCCATTCCGTACAAAGCTATAACACATCGCAACAGCATCTAAATGTGAAGGAGCTGGACAGTCACTGACTAGTTATTACCACTTGCTTCACTGTGTTGTAGTATCATATTCCAACACCGGAAACTTCTCTGTTTGATGATCGCTAGATAGCGATCTGGCCGAGTTATTGGCGCGATAGTGTAAAGGTGACAATGTGGACCACCCAGATACGGAGAAGCAAAGAGACAAAAGTGGTGCAAAACAGTCATTCCAAGATATGCGAATTTTGAAGAACCGCACTAAATGTTTCTGATAAAATGTTGATAATCGGCGTTTTAGGGGACTTAGTTACCTTAACATTACTAGTTTATTTATGGTGATATCGGTATTCACCTTGAAACATTACCAGTACATTTGGTCCCGCCATGAGTTAATCAGACGACGCGAAAGAGCATGTATACTCATAACTGGCCTCTGTTTTAAGGTTTGTGCCAAGCACAGACTGATGATTCCTAGTAAGTGACTTCAATGCACATGTAGGTCGTGGTGCCACGGTGTGGGCTGAGGTCAATAGGCCACACGGGATGGGAGTAGTCAATGGAGACGAAGAGTGCTTGCTTTCATTGTACGCCATTCACGACCTGACGATCACAAACACTCAGTTAGCTCTATGTGTCGGTGACACTGCTACACGAACCTACCCACGGAGTGGTCATGCCATCGTACGTCAAAGTGACATTTGTGAAGTACGCATAAAGCGGCTGATGCGCGGAGCTAAAGGTGGGACTTATCACAAGCTGGTGCGCACAAAGTTCTACATAAATGTCTATAAATTGTCGTATTTTTCACTGAGTATTAATCGGAAGAAATACAAAGACCGCGCCCTTTCGAGTGCAAAAAAGAGACGAGCGCTTGAAGATGCCATAATAACCTGCCTTGGCGAAATCGACTCAGTGGCTTCAGTCAGCGTTCTACGGGACCACTTGAAGAAACAAGTGACCATGACAGCGGAGGAGATGATAGGGCGTACAAACTTTAAGCGGCCCGGCTGGTTCGACGAGAACAGTACGGTGATTGGGATATTGGTACGAGGGGAATACGCAGCATTCTTTGCGTATGAAGTTGTCATAAACAATGACACGATGGGGCTATCCCAAACAGGCCCGATTTAAGACCGAACACCACGGACTGACATACAGCCCGTGGTGGGACACAAGTGCGGAGTGATCGCTGAATTCACCTGTCAGTTAGTATGTGCGGAAGGTGCGTGTTAATTGGCAAACATTATGAAGGAAGTGAGTCAGAACGGAATATCCGTTCTCGCGCAGTATAAGGGGCGAGGTCTTTTGCGCTTAAGGTTGTAGTGCAGCGACAACCACCCATAGGCTGTGCGCAGGCGTTCTACACTTGTCCGAAGGGAGAAACTTTCACAGATAATCCGAACGCCGAAGCCACCATTAGAGTGCTCCATGCTGAGGTGGATGTTGCATAAACAATGTTTCTTCACCGCAGTTGGGCTACACCGACTTCCAATTACCCTAGTTCTGCTTTAATCCACATACTTTGCTTTCCTCAGTACTATCTGTCTGTCGCACATACAGTGTGCAGCTCGTAACATGCTGCCACTGTTTCATTCTCATGGTTAGTTGCAACATATTCACGGTCCAGCGTAGTGTTATGCTTGATCATCCCTCATTGACAAGGGGCCGCGCGACGATTGACAATCGTGAAACAATACAACGGGTCTCAACTCAGTGACTAAGTCACATTATGCCACGTGACGGGAATCCTAAAGAACGCCGAAAGGTGGGCCACGCACCGCACAAGTTTCAATAAACCGCCCCCACTTGGGTACATTGCGCGTGCGAGTTCTCATAACCATCATGCAAACGTCCGATTCCCAAACTGTGCAACCTCGTAGTATTATTGGCCATTAAGGTACATGTTTTTCATACACAAACGTGGACAAATGCATGTGAGTATACGTGATTATACAGCATTCGCAGTGACTTTGTGTAGCTGCCAAGATCGAGGCTGATGAAGCATGTGATGTGCTGTGTCGTCTCAGTCGGGCTAGACACGACTGACAGTCCGCTGGACGTGCGTTTGATACATTAGAAGTCTCATGTGTTTTAAAATACCTGAATGCGCTTGTTGTAAAGGTGCCTACCTGGCTAACACCCGCCACCTTGATAATAATGGTTCTAGGAGACCGTTAATTGTTTCTTGGGGAAAGAGGTACACGGTCCTCGTGACTGTGCTAGGTTCAAAGAGTGGTTTCATACACGCAGTGTAGAATGAGCTACAGCCCAACCATAGCCCTGTGTACGTGTAGTACGTATGATTCACCATAAAGACACACAGTAATGCTGCTGCTATAAGTGTTGTAGGAGTGAGGGCCGGCTCCGTCGAAGAAATATGGTTCCCATCCACATGCCCCCAGGTCTTATTCCACTGGGTATGTGGTGTGTGGACGGAGCTGTGGAAGTTGAAGCGCAAACCGTACATGTTCCCTCTGTAGGCACAGGAGACCTGTGGTTGTCGCCGTGGAGACCACACGGATAATGCCTATACACACATATATATATATATATATATATATCGGTTTAGTTATGTATGGTCAACTCCACATCCAGTGCGTTACCACGTCGAAGTGTTTGTGAGCACCTCGGTGAAAGTGGGAAACTATACTCGCAGTTTAGTAGGTGGCCTAAAAACGTGCACTGCAACTAGACTTCACCAGGCAGTCATAGCAAATCTGGAAAATATCAGGGACGAAAGTATGTCCTTCCGGGTCTTAGCAGTTCATTGCTCTTCTGAGTTTTGAAACAACCACTTGCCAGGAAGTGTCGCAATAAAATAACCAGTATCACTGGGTTAGTAGTTGCAGCTCCTGTATAAAAGGTACATAGCAATTGGGAAATGCATGTGAGGGGAATCATGCCGAACATCATATAGGCTCCCAGTGGTCGATCATATTCATGCAGACATCACATACCCTACAGTACCGTGTATAAGCCGATCCGTATATAAGCCAACAGTATGACTTTGCAACGTCAAATTTGTCCAAAATCGTAAGTCCGTATATTAGCCGAAGCTCCCAAAAATCAGCAAAAAGAGAAACGAAATTGTTTCTCACGATTTTGACTTCATCACTATCTGCTCTCACTTGTGTGTACACAAGCGAAAGCTACTCTACTATTGGTGAATTATGGCGACCTAATACGTTGTGATCGCAGTTAATAGGGCTTAGAGCCGTCAGAACAAAGAGTTTAACCGCACGGGACAGTGCATTGATTAGATGTCAAGTCACACGAAACAGGTAAGACAGCCGACAACATAGGGTAAGGTGAATGGGTATGTCGCACCAGGCTCCAAAGGCTGGGCCACATGTTGCGCATGCGAGCATACCGACTCCCGCGACGTGCATTATTTGTGCACAGGGGGTGCGGTTGGAAGAGGGGGGGATGCCAAGTGATGACTTGTTCCAGAGGAATGAAAATCCTCACTTCGAAACTGGTGTCGGTTGGTGCATCCCGACTGCCTAGTTGGGGTCCTAAGGTAGATGAACACGTTTGGTTGGACACGCCTGCTGATATGGCTAGGAGACGGCCCCAAAGGCGTTTGTGTTGTGAGTTCCTTTGTCCATCACACTCGTGCCCAGCCTCCTCTTCCAATCACCACCTCATTCGTTAGGCATAATATAACTCCTTTTGCGACACGATAGCTAGCTGTTAGCTCTCCGGAACGATGGCCATCCGCTACTAGGGACTCAGCGGGCGTGCCACTGTTGTGTTTTTTCTTCTCTTTTGTATTGCAGCACAATAGCTCAGGTGTTTTCCACCTGAAGCCAACGCGTATAATGGATGAATGAAAGGGTATATCAGACACCGCCTCGCATAGTCGGGGACCTCATGCATCTGAATCGAAGTGGAGCAGCGGATAAGAGGGAAGTTCATGATCAGTGGTATGGGACGATGTTGTACTTTTAATGCACCAGATTGATTAGCACAGCATAATATATAAGCGCTTATTCGTTAACCAAACTAGCGGTAACGCGACGTCACAGGATCCAGCTGAGCGGGAATGTGCTCACATTTCGCGAAGTCAAATGTGCAATATACCAAGAATTTTCGACACAAACATAATGTGTCTACCTATAGGCACTTCAACTCTCCGCCTGGGATACCGTCTGTCACTAGCGAGTGGTGCTAAGGCAAGATAGGGGCATAGGTGTGCAGTGAATTTCTGGGTGGATTTTGCATGTGATTTTTTTCAAATTGCGCATAACCTTTGTATAACACGACCCTCCCCCACCACCACAGACATGGAAAATTGTCCAAAATTCCTCGGCTTATACGCGGCAATATACGGTACTTACAGCAGTGGTTGGGTATCGCTGCGACAGTTATGATCCATTGTTAGAGATCAGAGCATCTGAATGAGGATGATGGTACCGATGACTGAGGCTAATGAGTGGGGAGTAACCAACACGCGGCCACTAATATGGCAACAACTATGGGTGTCAAGAGCAATGCTACTGATAAACAGGATAGTAGTATGCATTGAGTGTGGAAAGAAATACATGGAACGAACAAGTTGCGCCAACCACATCAAAAATTTTATGGGATAGCATGAAAAACACTGACCTTTGCCACCGGTTGCCCCGAGTCACCCGCAGCATTAAGCTCTTCGTGACCTGAAGGAATAATTAAAAGAATGCGGCTTACGCTACGGATAAGCAGGTCGAAGAAGAAACCAAGACAAATCAGAAAGTGTGACACACCATCCACCTTAGGAATGATACATGTAAGAATTGTTTGTGACGCCTGAGGCACTGTTTTAGCTTTCGAAACCAACAAGAAAGTGGTTGCTGACAGTGGGAGAGGACTAGATTCTCAAAAGATGAAATAGCAATAAGCAAACAACATTAGTTACATTACAAAACGACTGGCGGGAAAGGACTACTGAGTAAATGAAGAATATCGTGGAAACAATTGACCTGTCTTCGGAGTGTCACTACTGGATTGCAGGCAAAAATCCCGTAGGTAATACAGTCTTCAGAGACGGCGATAATCGCCACTCGTGGCAAACACTGTCTCAATCCAAAGCTTCAGCTACCTCTCTATAAGACTGTCAGTTTACACAACACATGAATCATCCTATATTTTTAGGGTTATTGTAAATGAAAATAGAAAAAATCTGTGACGGCGATACAGATGGAGGGAATTTGGAGTATGCACAGAAAAAATTAATATGTCAATGATGATGCGAGCACAGTATGTTTATTATCGAATGGATCACGGTGAAACCTAGCTTGCTCGAAACTCAAGGTGATAAGAAAAGATGAAATCTTCTTCGGTTTAACGGTACAATTGCATGCGGTCAATAACACACTGATGGGGATGTTTCCGGTGGTGCCTTTCAAATCGAACCATATGCGGCGGAGTCGCCGACAAAAAGGGATCATAATTTTTGACGTCGCGTTCATGTGCTCAATTGAGGTCACATGCGAGTGGAAATAGGGTACAGTCAAATGAGCAGTTGATTTATGGGGATGATCACCATCCACTGCATCATCATCACCACCATCATTATAAGTTAGCTAACAGTGAAAAACATCACATCCATTGAGCCTAAAAAAGGTATTTGAGGAAGGCGAGATAATACACATTACAGAATAAAAACAGAACAAAACAATATGAAGCATTGCATCATATGACAAGTAGAATGTGAGATCGCGGTTAGAAGAGTAAGCTAAACGGCAGGATAAGGAACAACGAGACCCACAAGACTAACGCCATTCAGATCGGCTCTCTGCTATGATGATAAACAGCCACATTTGTGAAGAACAAGCCGTGGAAGTCGCAGCTGCATTGATCAGTTATCCAAATTTAATTGTCGGAGCATGGCCATATTTATTAGTGACCCACCGTAGTAGCGCTACTGCACATCAGAGGGACTCCGATTTGGCGGACTGATGTGCAATTTAAGAAGGCCTGCTCAGGATAGGTGTCCGATAAATGTGTAAATGTTATGACAGCATTTTACGTGCATACTTCGAGAACAGTGAGGGCTAGCGGCAAGCCCTCGCCACTTTTCAATGACTCTACCCATGTGAGACAAAGTGCTCACTGTTAAGATCTTTGTAAAGATCTTTATCAATGAAGTTATTGAAACCCCGTTCACTGGACACGACCTGCAAGGCGTGGAGCTGGAGTGTGCCGACGACATTGCCCCTAGCTGCGACAGCTCCCAAAGGTGCCAAGCAGCGCTGGACAAATTATCCTTGGCCGTCGAAATGAAAAGTCCTTCGCCAAGATTGGTAGGGACCCACTCCGCACTGACTCATGGTGGTGATCAGCTAGGAGTCGCCTAGAAATTCAAGAATCTCGGCAGGGATATCAGCGCCAGTGGATAGAGGATGAGATCACGAACAGTAAAGCAAAAGCTAATCTCCGCCACCTGTGGTGCCTGCGCGACACTACTGTCACTTTAAAGGGCAGATTACAGTACAACCATCTGTTCAACCCTCCCGTACGGCTGCGAAACCTAGCCCACCAAGTCGACAGACAAAAAGAGGCTAGCTAGGTTCGATCATCCCTGCCTTCTTAGCTCAACTCGTGTCTGGTAAGAGCAACGCGTGAGCAATGAGCGTATTTGGCGTCGATCATTTGATGCATGAAGAGCGAGTGAACCACTCAGCACCGTTAATCCACAAACCAAATTCCGATGGCTAGGCCACGTGTTGCGCTTGCCAGCACAACGACTCCGGCGTCGTGCGTTATTTGCGCGCCGGCGGTACAAATTGAAGAAGAGAGGAAACCAAGCGATGAATGTCTCAAGAGGAATAAGGGCTCTCATCCCGAAGTTGGCGCCGGTTGGCGTCGCCAAACTGCCGAGTTGGGGTCCGAAGGATAATAAACACGATCTCGGTCTTGAGGTATAATATGTTACTAAGCGGTAAATTAGCTGTCGGATTTTTGCATTCTCTAATGCTGTGTATCATGTTTTCTCATATATCTTCTAATATAAGGGCACAATAGTTGAAATGTATTACTCACTTTCAGTTAATATGCAACGATGACGATGATAATGTGAACAAACGTGTTCATCGTCCTTTGGACACCAGCCCGTCACTTAGGAGGCACTAACCGACGTCAACTCTGAAGTGGTTTTCAACTCATTCAACCAGCCATCGGTTTCACCCCCTCCTTCCGTTCCCACCCCAGTCGCTCCAACGACGCAAGTAGCGGAAATCGGTGCGCTGATATGCGCAACACGTGGCCCAGTCATCGGAACCTGGTACGTGAAACAATGGTGTTGAGTGGATCACTTGCTCTTCCAGCACCGAATACGAGGCGCTGAACACGCTCATTGCCCACGCCGTGAACCTACTAGACATGAACTCAACTGCGAACCTAGTCTTGTGAAGCTAGGTGAAGATAAACCCCGAACTTCCAGCATGTAGCCACATATTTACAAATTTTAACATTAGTTTATAGTGCAGACAACGGGCCTTTCGATACTATGGAAATAGGAATCAGGTATGGTAATATGCATAGCTAATAAGAACAAAAGTGACGATGGATCGATACGGCCAATCAATTCCAACCAGCAAATTTCGGGTTCATCGCTTCCGGTGACGGAAATCATGATCCACCAGGGTAAGGCTAAGCTGGCCACGGAGTCCAAGACTGAAAAATGAACCAGTAATAAAGAGAAAAAGGAACAGAAGATTTCACACGTCACGTTTTACCAGCTGATAAGGAATGTCGTGACGACACCACGAATGTCGCAAGTTGGCAAAAGACGAACGGGCTTTAGCAATTCAAATTTCTTATCCAATAATGCTGTCGGTAGAAACAATTTCTCAGGTAGACAAAACTATCCACGTGTTCTAAGTGTGTGCTTCCGATGGTGAACTGAGGAGGGAGTTGCGGCCAATCCTGTAACAACACTTTGCTCTTAGAGGGGGTTAAGACCCGTACCATATTTAGGCACTTCAAACGAAAATCGGTTAAGGGCCCATTGCATAGCATGAGAATCGTCACCCAGCAAAGTGACATCATCAACGTAATCTGAGTCGGTGGCACGATTACCTGCGAGACATCTAATGCTCCAAACGAGACATCCTCGATCCCAAACCGGAAGGAAAACGAAAAGACTGGACAGCTTTTACACACATGTGACAAGAAAGAATGCGGAAAGTTTGCCATAAGAATGTATAGCACCCCAAGAAAAGCGATGTACTAGGGTAGGAATTGAAATAAATCAGGTCGATGTGCTGAGTCGAATGCACCTCAGATGACCAGGAAGAGGACGATGGTGCGTCTGCGGTAGGAGTGACGAGTTCGAGAAGCTGACGGAACGGGCCTTGACCAAGACAAAAACCAGCATGCACATCTCGATAGTGCGCTTTAAAAGTTGGGTGGTAGTAGGTCGAAGGTAGCCGATGTCAGACTGGTCCCCTGTGAATGGTTCGTTAACTGAGAGAAGCTTCCCTGAAGGTAGTTAAACTAACTGACTCTCTGCAAGAAGAGGAGACCATTTCTAGTGACAGATCGTCAGAAAAAGGACATAAATTGACTGACTAAGTCTGCGCCACAGTATTCGAGCAGTTCCCAAGGAAATTTGTCTAAACGGGCATCGTTAAAGTATTTCGCGTATCGGATCTCGAAGCAAACCTTTGATTCCGTGGTCGTGTCTCCAGTAACATCGCACAGCGTATGCGACTTGCTGATATCAGGTCTGTCGTGCCCATTGGTCGGAATGAAATACCACCGCTTATGAGTATTTCCAGCAGGAGAGCGGTCTCCACATCCAAAGCCCATTCGGACCGATGGAGTTTCCGATGGCCTAGAAGATTTTGTTAAAGTTGCGTAGCCGCTAATCCGCAGCTCGCAATCGCCGCGAAGACCACCCTAAAGAGAATCTTTGCTTCCGTGAAGCGACGCCTGAAGCCAGGTGATATGCCAGTGCTGGATGGCCTGGACGGACAGCCCCTAACCTCCAGCACTGAGCGTGCGTCCGCGATGCCGGCGCACTTCGCTTCTGTACTAGAAACCACCAGGTGTCTGTACCGAGTTCGATGTGTACCGCTTCTACCGAACTCGACATTCTGTATTGCGGCGTTGAAGCGGTATGTCAACTACTGGCCAGCCTTGACAGCACCAAACCTGCCGGACCTGATGGGCTCCACTCAGTAATTCTCAAGCCACTTTCTGCTGTCATCTCTCCTGTCGTGACTGACCTTCATAACAGGTCGCTGTCCGAAGGTTCCTTGCCGATTGACTAGAAGTGTTCGGAGGTGAAGCCTATTCCGAAAGGCGGAGACCTTAGCAAAGTAGGCAACTGTAGGCCAATTTGTCTGACAACTATTTTGAGAAAGGGTGCTGAGAAAAGCGTAAAAAAGGGATTATTGCAGTTGCTACAGTTAAAGGAGGTCCTGACGCCCGTACAGCACCGTTTATGCAAAGCCGCTCATGCAGTACAAACTTGCTTGTGACGAGGTATGAGTGGTTGAAGGTAATAAGTAAGGGGAAATCGAAGCGATATTAATCGATTTCAGTAAAGTTTTCGATAAGGTCAGCAATAAGGTCCTGCTTCACAAACCCAGGATGTGCGGTTTCAGTGGCTCACCGCACCGGTGGATCCGCGAATTTCTTATTGGACGGAAGTGTAGGGTACAGGTCGACG